AGGGTCGCAAGCGGCCCTCCAGAGCTCCGTCTTCGCTGGCAGAGAGCTGCCGGAGGCCATCATGGCCGAAAACGGAGCCTGGTAGAGGCACCATGAGCAAGTCATTTGCTGTTTCCAGGTCAGCCATGCAGGGCAGATCTAAGCATCCCATGGGCCAGATTTGGCCCATAGGCCTTGAGTTTGATACCCCTGGTGTAGATCCTCTGAACATTGGAAGTGAGAAACATGGAGGTTTGACATCGCCTGCTGCTACCAAAGCCCATTCCTGTCGGCCAAGCCCCACTTCTGACCTTCCTTTTCCCCCCTTTGCTCTCTACACAGGACATGGGCTGTGGAGCCAGCCTGGGCGTGATCTCAGACAATTTGCTAGTCACTGGCGGTCAAGGCTGCGTCTCCTTCTGGGACATTGGCTACGGCGACCTGCTGCAGACGGTCTACCTGGGCAAGAGCAATGAGTCGCAGCCGGCCCGGCAAATCCTGGTGCTGGAGAACGCGGCCATTGTCTGCAACTTCGGCAGTGAACTCAACCTGGTTTACGTACCGTCAGTGCTCGAGAAGCGGGATTGAAAGGGTGGGAGGCAGAGGAAGAGAATCAAGAAGCCCCTAACCCATCCCGTCCCTTTGAACTGCTCCTGGACACCCAGCGATGCAGGGAAGATACTGGGCAGACTTTTCTGTCCCATGGAAGAACGGGAAGGAGGCCGATGTCGAATCTTCCAATTTTCTGGATTTGGGGCGAGGTGCGGCAAGAGGCCAGGGCCACCGTTCTGGAAGGGTTGTAGTGGATGGACACCGGGGAACAACAATTGGCGAGCCAGGCAGGAGAGTTTTCCACAACCCTGCGGCAGCGACGTTTCCTTTGCCGTCCATTTGGGTGGGTGCTGAATCTGGCCACACAGGAGCCCTCAAAAAAATGGGCTGGGGGCAAGGAATGGGAGGGCTTCCCCAGTGCCCCCTTTGTCTCCTGAGCCATTTAATTGGGGTGGGGGTGGGGCTTCAAAATCTATGGAAATGAAACAAGCCAGATTGATTCCATCCACCGCAGGCCTCAGCCAGTGAGCTGCAGCAGGTGTGAAAAGATTGGGTGCAGTTACTCCCCGTTGTATTTATTTCTGCTGTACATAGTTATTTATTCCAGCACATGAGGGGGAGAGAATAGGAGATACGCTGCCTGCTGTAAAATGGTCATGAAAATGGGCTTGCTGGCTGCTGCAAGCCAAGGTTAAAGACCAGGGATGGGATGTCACTGATTCCCCTTTGCTTTGACATTAAACCTGCCCAGCGTGGACTTCAGGGCAGCTTTACAGGCTGTAGGCATGGCTGTGTTGTCATCCCCGCACCCCCGGTAAAGATAGAGTCCCAACCACGATTCAACTGAGTCATGGCGGTTTTCAGGGATCCAATCAGAGTGTTATTCAGCAGGTTTTGACCAGTTCTGGAGAACCAGTAGCGGAAATTTTGAGTAGTTTGGAGAACCGGTGGTAACCTTCCCCCTGGAGTGGGGTGGGAATGGAGATTTTGCAGTATCCTTCCCCTGCCACACCCACCAAGCCACGACCACAGAACCGGTAGTAAAAAAATTTGAATCCCACCACTGGATCTAATGTCTGCCTCGGACAGACATGCAGTTCCCGCGGTTCAGCATCATGTAGAGTTTTGTGTCCCGAAGACCCAAGAGGGCAAAGCATAAACTGGTTCGTCTGCTGAGCCGATGTGGGTGCCATGATGGGAAAATTAACTAGAACGGTGGGGAAAAGGGGGGGGGGAGATTTCAGTTGGTCAAAAAGACACGAGAAATGTTCGGGAAGTGCAGTTAGAATACGTGGTTTATTTCTTAATTTAAAGCCATTTGCATAGGAACTAGTTTATTTATAATTTAGGACCGCTGCTTGTAGGGTGGCATGCGCCTGCTCATCGGCAGGAGGCGGCTTGGGGGCTTGCCTGCTGAGGTTTGGCAGCCTTGCGCCCAAGGCCGGATGGGGTGGGGCATGGTAGAGCTAAACCATTCCCCAATGTTTCTTAACCATGGCCATTTCCAGACATGTAGACTTCTTGCAGCTAGTTGGGGTACAGGCGGTCCTCATCTTACGGCCACAACAGCCTGCCCACGTTCACTGTAAAATGGGCCAGCCTGCTGGCAGCATCCCGCAATCGTGTGACCAATTCCTGACATTTTTGTCAGTGGTTGTTAAAACACCACAACAATTATGTGAACCCATTGTTCACCTTGGCACAATTATGCTGAAAACTGGAAGTGGTTCCTATGGACAAAACTCTCGTAAATCGAGGTCAGGCAAACCATAGGGGGACAGGCTCGTAGGATGCTGCAAATATGGTCGTGGGTCTGAGTTGGTTGTAAGTCGTAACTCTTTACAGTTGCTAAGTACATGTATTCTGAATGAAGGCCACGCATCTCAAAGTGATGCGTGCAAATTGGGACAGATCGAGCCCCTCTTCCCAGCCCTGTCATCCCACATCCTGGCCACCCCCACCCACCCCCCTGGTCCAACGCCCATATGATGCCTCCAGTGGCCTTAGCTCTGCTGTACCCTTTCGACTGTATGGTAGATGCTTTTATACACGATTGTGTTTTGTAACGTGTACAGGCACATTAAAGAGAATTAACTTCACGCTTCCTGTGGTTTTTGGGGGAGACTGGAAATACACTTTTCTGCCCTAGAGAAACCCTAACCCACAACCCCAGCTCCCTGCTGGGCCATGAGCCGTTCAGAATCGGGCCACAGAAGTGGACGAGCACAAGTGCGTACACCTGCTTGTGCAAGCAGTAGCAGCAGACACACAGACCTGTCGCTTGAGTGAGTAGAGCTGTAAACAGGGGCCGGTGAGGGGGGGGTACCCTTGCCTGCCACTCGTGTAGAACCATTCCCTCTTCCCGCCGTTCCACAAAGCCTGCAGAAAGATTGGGGAACTTGAGAGTGGAGGAAGAAACTACTGTAATGTTTTTAAAATGCCTTTCACACAGCGTTGTTGATGGCAAGGTGGAAGCGGGTGCGAGAAAGACGCGGCTCGCCTAGAAAGGCGGAATTCCAACTGCAAAGGATCATGGAAGCATTGAACCCTGAAGTAGTGTAATTCCCTTTTTAAAAAAAGAAATGTCAATACCCCGGTACTCGTGCTTAATTGGTTTTGGGAGGTGTGGCGAGCACTAAAATAAAATTGAATAGCAAACAAACCATGTGATTTATTATGTGACCTTTCATTTCAGCTGGGTAGGACTTCCTGTTTGTCCCTTTTCCTATGTCGGCAAGCTTCTGAGCATGGCCAACTTGCTTTCACTCTTCGGTGGTAGTCGTCCACTTTCTTTTCCCACCGTGTTGACAAGGGTGACCACCGGGGCATTTGCACGTCAAAATGTGTCGAGTACCAAATGCGACAAGTTTTGAAGCAGTCGATGCCCCCGTACGTTTGGTGTGACAGATTTAGTCACCAAAACAGCATCCCCTGCCTAGCCAGGGTCCCTTGCCTATCCCAAATTCGAGTCAGCTGTGCATGATCAACGGCAAATACACTGGATAATAGTATCAGCATTGTGATCCTCGGGGGCAACTGCAAAACACCCAGAGCACCATTCAAATGGGTGGATATATTAGATGATATAGAGATGATAGGTGATAGGTTGGGGGTGTCAAACTCGATTTGAGAGCCGCATAAGGGTTGTTTGACCTTTGGGGGGAAAGCATGGCCAGGGTGGGAGTCACTCATTGAGGCGTCATTTTTGGCCATGTCGGCCTGTCTGGGCTCGGTTTTGGGCCACGACTGACCTCCTGGGCTCCGTTTTTATCCATGACGGCCTCCTGCTGCCCTCTTGACACCCAAAACAGAGTTTGGGAGGGCCCTGAGCTCCTTTTTCACTGGCAGAGACAACGTGGGCCAGTCCTTCCAGAGTGGGCCCAAAAGCCACATCTCAGCAGCCCAAGGGGCCAAATCTGGCCCCTGGGCCTTGTTTGACATCCCTGTAATACAGGTGATATATAGCTGAGGTTGGTACATATGTAAATAGATAGATGGGTAGACAAGTTATGGATGAATGGATATAGGGAGAATGGGAAATTTATAGATATGGATGGATGGATGCAGTGGAGGGCTGCTACCAGTTCACATCAGTTAAGGTGAACCCTGGACATGAGTTGGAGAAGCGTATGCTCACAGAACCAGTTGTTAAACTGGAGCCCACCACTGGATGGATATAAGCAGAAAAGTGAGGGAGGTTGTTGTGGTCCACCGGCAGCCTGCAGAGACAGGAGCAGAATTGGACAGTGGCGAAGAACGGGGACCAGTCTGGGAGCCTGGGAAGGACTTGGACAAGGATCCTGCGTCCGACACAGAGATGGGTCCAGGGCCATTTAGAAGTTATGTGCTGACTCCGGAGCCTCCAGAATCTGACATCACCGAGGCAGAGGAACAAGGGGAGCCTGGTCCCAGTGCACACTTGTGCAGAGCTGCCAGAAGGCAAGAGCAGCTGAGACAAAAGGGGCAATTTGGGATTAAGCTTGGAGATAATTGGCCCCTCCCACAGTACATAAAGGAAGAGCAAAGGGACAGGAGCCTTTGCAGGAAGCAATGTTGTTTGCTGTGTTCAGATTAAACCTTGAAGTTCTGTGGGGACTTTGTACTCGGTGTTTTACAGTTCATTTGGCATTTTAGTTGCTGGCAGCAATTCAAAGGAGAGAAAGTTAAGTGCGTATCTTGAGAGACTGGGACTTATTACAGGCTGGGAATGAACATAATTCCCAGTTGTTGAAATAAAAAAAGACTTGTTTGGACTAAGCATGTGCTTAGTTACGGTCTAAGGAAGTCTTGGTCAGCAGTTTTGACAGATAATAGATGGATAGATGATTGACAGATAGACACAGATTGTCATATTTTTTAACTACATAAGCCACCCTGAGTTACCCTGTGGGTAAGATAGGTGGCCAATAAATTTAATAAATAAATTATGTTAAGAGGAGGAAGAAATAAAAACAGTCTTAACAACGACACCCATCTCCAACGCCCCGTTTAATTTGCTTTCGTAGCAAAGAACTGAAAAAGTGTTGGCTGTTAAATTACACTGGAAGTTTGGAAACCGGAAGCCAGTATTAACATTTGTACAGAAGGAAAAAGAAAAAAAGAAAAATCAATACGTTTCCCCAAGACTGGTCAATGCAGGGGTTGGCGGAATCCACAAACTTATCAACATTCTTTGGGACAGAAAACCAGCTAGTCTATCCAGGAAAGACGAGTCTTGCCAAGCCTTTTCTCCCTCGGAGGAGGGGGTGCACCCACATTTTAGCTGTCCCACTGACCCCCATTCCTTGGGGCATGGAATGCCTGCTTCAGGGGGGCCCACACTAGTGTCGACGGTGTCCACACCCGTTTTTTCAGTAGCCGTTGTCAAGTGAAAACAAGTTCTGTAGACCATGTGGCTCAAAATTCAGCATCACTGGACTTGGGGGGGTGGGGGGAGAATAGCAGGGGAACCCCTGTGGTCCTGAATTGAGAGGGGGGAGAGACACAAACAGGAAAAAAAAAAGAACCTTTGGAAACCGAATCGGGCCATCTAAGGGAACCTGGGGAGGAAATGCCGTACCAAGTGCCAGATTCCACCAAGAGTCAACCAAGGGTTCCCCTATTTATCTGGGGACCCCTGCCTCCCACCCTCTCCAATTTGGCAGGATCAACTGGACCGTCTCAAGTCCTACCAACTTTCATGGGGAAAGGAATGAGAAATGGGCGGTGCAGGAGATCCCAGCTTTTAGTGGCTTGTCCCAGGTTTACTTGCCATAGAACGGGACAGTGAGAGTACGGTCGCGGGGTGTGTGTGTTGAAAAGCTGAACCGTCTGTCTCCCCCCCCCCCCCAAATCACACCCAAAACTTTGAGTGGGCATGAGGACTCTGGCTGGCGTCACAGCTTTGCTCCTGGCTCAATTGCCCCGGCATTGAGGTGAACCGTAACAGACGCGTGGTCCTGGCTGGGGCTGAAAAGGAAGCGGGAAGGCAACCGGTAACCGTTCTGAGCATTCCAGCTTGGCCGCAATGCGGGGTCTTGAACAACCATAAGCATGGCGAGAGGGTTCCAGAGGCAGTACGGCATTCCCGAAGCGGTCAATGGCAGACAAATATACCGCCGTCTCACCTGGAACTCCACCACAAACCAGGAAGGTAAGTACAGGAGAATGGGGGGGTGGGGGGGGCTTGTTGCATCTGCTCAGGTCTTGTTGAGAGTCCAGAGAGGGTCTAACTTGCTGAGAGGGTCATCGCTGGGAAGGGCTCCTCGCAGACCCTCCCCGTTCTGCGGCTGGAGAAAGCTCTGCTTGCTCACTTTGTGCCGGCCCTTAAGTGAGCTGTCCAGGGTGAAGGCCTCCGGGGTGAGTGAAGCCAGAAGCTCCAAGGAGGAAGAGGAGGAGGAGGAGGGAGGGAGGGCCGGTGTAGATGCCAACGGCTCTGCCCTCGGAAGGCTTTCCGCCTTCTCCTCGCTTCTCTCCTCTTCCATGGAGCTGCTCATCTCGACGATCAATGGGGCCACTGGCTCGGACAATGCCGGAGCCGGTGTGACAGGTGGAGAAAACCCCGGCATGTTCTCTGTGCAGCCTGGCTCGGGAAAGATTCGCGGACCAGCGGAAGACGCCGCCGGCGGGAGTGCAGCATCAAAGGGGGGCATTGAGGGGGCTGCCGCCTCCAGCCCCCGGGCATTGGGGGGATGCTCGGCGCTGCCTGGGAGAGGTCGGATGCTGAGTTTGGCAATGGTGGCTTGGATGGAGCTGATGGGGACGTCGCCCCCCAAGACCAGATCTTGGAGGTCCTGCTGGAGAGGCACCTGGAAGGAGAGAGGGGGAGGCTGAACAGAGTACACAGTCCTCAACTTTACATGAGTTCACTCAGTGACCGTTCACAGTTACGACAGCAGTGAAAACAGGGATTTATGATCCAGTTTTCACACTGATGACCATTGTAGCATCCTGACATTCTGATACTTAACAATTCCGCCCTTTTGGCAACTTTCTGACCAGGAAAGTCAACGGAGAAGCCAGGTTCACTTAACAAACGAGTTACCAATTTAACATCTGCCGCGATTCGCTTAACCTACGCGGTGAGAAAAAAAGGCATTAAGCGGGACACAACCAAGGTTGGAATTCAGCCGGTACGGACCGGTTCGGGTGAACAGGTTGTGAAGCATGTGCTCACTGAACCAACTGTTACACCAGTTGAATCTCACCGCAGGACATAACTTCCTTAACAGTCTCGCTCAGTAACATAAATTTGGGGGTCACAATTATGGCCGTATAGTGAGGATTACCTGTAGGATGTAGGTCATCACAATTCCCAGAATTCACGTTTTATTCAGGACAACCCGTGGCTTAAATAAGAGCTTGTTTCTCCTGGGCTCTTCAACTGAAGCATCTGCATGGGTTCAAGAGGCTGCCTCCCCCCCACCACAAATCATCTCTTTTCTGCAACCCATTAGGCAACGCTGCCTTACCTTTTGGGCACTGCTGCTGGCCGGCTTGCAGGCCAAGGCCGCGGACATCACACCATGTCTCTGCAATACCTGCACAGCATGTTTCAGGACCGCCTCGTAGCAAAATCGGAGATGGACCTGCAAGAGAAGCTGCCTGTTCAGATACCCACCGCTGGCCACCTCCGCTATCCCGGAGCTGGGTTTGCCTGCTTCCCTTACCTTCTCCTGCAGCATGTGTTTCCTCTGTCGACGGATGCGCTTCACGAGTTGAACCAAATCCGGGATGCTGTTGCCAGCTTCTACCTCCTGCATGGCGGCGTAGAGGAGGCAGAAGGCTCCTGTGCGGCCCACGCCGGAGCTGCAAGGAAAGAAGACCGAAAGATCAGGTCTGCAAGATCTTGCGCAACCCTTCTCCAACTGTCCTAGACAATTTGCTAAGTAGGTGGGGGGAATTTACACAAAGGCTGTATTTGGCGGGAACCCAGAAAGCAGAATGGGACTCAACATGGCCGATTCACCATGTGACAACTCGCCACGGACAACTTGCCCCAGAAAAACTCGCCACAGAACAACTCACCATAGTCAACAAGCTTCGGGACAACTCACCACGGCCAACTCTCTGCAGGACAACTCATTGAGATAACTCGCTGCGGCCAATTCGCCATGGGCAAACTTGCTACGTGATAACTTGCCACAGCCAAATTGTTGCAGGACGCCATGGTCAACTTGCTGCGGAACAACTCACTGCAGGACAACTCGCCATAGCCAACTCAAGCCAACTTGTGGGATGCTATGGTCAACTCGCCGCAGGACAACTTGCTGCAGGACAACTCGCCACGGCCAACTTGCTGCGAGATGCCATGTCAACTCGCCGCGGGACAATTCACTGCAGGACAATTCACCATAGAACAACTTGCCACAGGATAACTCACCACCGTCAACTAGCTGCGTGACAACTCGCCAACAGCCAACTAATTGTGGGATAACTCATCACAGCCAACTGGTTGCCCCAGGACAATTTAGCAATCCGATTTAATTATTTTAAATTTTAAAAAGTAATTGGTTTCATTTTGGTCGTTCCTATTTCACGCTGTTCCTCCTTTGGCATCAGTGGTGGGATTCCAAATTGCACGCTACCAGTTCTAGGCACTCAAAAGATTGCTTTGCACATGCATGCAGCAATCAAAGATCACATCATGTGCGCACGCAGAACTCAAAAAGATCGCCCTCAGGGAGGTGAGCTGGGGTTGTTTTAGCTCCGCTGAGGTGCGGTAATCCACTCTGCCACGTGAATCAGCTGAGCTAAAAATCAATGGAATTGTTCTGACCAAGGCCTCCTGAGACTGTAATTAAGTACACGCTTAATCCAAACAAGTCTTGTTTTATTTCAATGCTGGGAATTATGTTCATTCCCAGCCCGTAATGAGCCCCAAACAGTCCCTCGAGATAAGCACCCACCTTTCTCTCCTTTGAATTGCTGCCAACAACTAAAGTGCCAAACTGTAAAAACCCCAACCTGAATACAAAGTCCCCACAGAGCTTCAAGGTTTAATTCGAACAGAGCAAACAACGTTGCCTCCTGCAAAGACTCCTGTCCCTTTGCCTGTCCTTTATCCCTGAGGGGAGGGGCAATCACCTCCCAGCCTTACACCCGAGTCGCCCCTTTCGTCTCAGCTGCTCTTGCCTTCTGGCAGCTCTGCGCACACAACGCACACTGGGAACAGGCTCCCCTGGGTCCTCTGCCTCGCTGCTGCCAGGCTCCAAAGGCTTCGGACTCAGCACCCTACTCCCAAATGGCCCTGGCCCCATCTATGTATCGGATGTAGGACCCTCATCCGAATTCTCTCCAGACTCTCGGACTGGTCCCTGTTCTTCCCCACTATCGGATTCCGCTGCTGTCACACAGGCTGTCGATGAACCACAACAGGAATATAGGATGGGAAAGGGCAGGTGTATGGGGCCAATCAGAGGTGGTATTTGCTGGTTCTCCAAACCGGTCAAAATTTTCGCTACTGGTATGCCAGAACCGATCCGAACCGGCTGAATAACACCTTTGCTGGGCACCTCAGCTGGGCAGAAGGGATTTTTTTAACGATTCTATTCCACCATTTCTTTGATATTAGTCAGCAACCTGCAGCTCTGGAGCCACATGTAGCTCTTTCATCCCTCGGCTGCGGCTCTCTGTCACCGGTCAGCTCCACACAATTTATAGGATTTTCAGTTAGGAGAGATAGAGGAAAAAGGATGCCACGCTAGGAGGAGCCTCTATGGTGGGGGAACCAGACTTCCGGTCAACTTTAGAATTGAATGGGGGCCTTCCGGTTAGGATTTTTGTGGGTCTTTCAGTGTTTAAGGTTGCCAACTCCTGGTCTAACTCTTGTCCCGCCGTGCCGAGTTATCCAGGGTGAATTGTCCGTTGTAAGTTGGCTGCGGCAAATTGTCATATACCCTCCCAAAAGACCTAGAGTGACAGGGATGAGATTGACAGTGGGCTCCTCCCTAGATCTCCCCCCCACCCTCAAGTTCTGGAGCATTCCTCACGTCACCCATTCCCCGTATTACCTGCAGTGGACCACAATGGGGGTGTGGAGGGGTCGCTGATGTAGGTAATGGCTGTGCACATCCTGGATAAACCGAAGCAGGTTCCCTTTGCTGTCCGGCAGGCCACTGCAGGAAGAGTACAAGAGGTGAATGAAAAGCATAAAAAATTAAGTGAATTTGAACTTAATAGGCGAGATATTCAATTATTCATTCAATTTGTACCGTTTCCCCCAAAATATAACCTACCCTGAAAGTAAGTCCAAGGTTGATTTTTAGATGTGCGCCCAATATAAGCCCTATTCCCCCCTCCAAAAAAAATAAGCCCTAATTACTATCCTGCCCGCTCCAGAGTGGACGGGTAAACGTTAAGCTAGGGTGGGTATGGGGCAGAGCTGCCCTACTACTTACCTTTGGACAGGTGTAACCAGGCCTCGCACACCTCGACACCTGCCTTGCTGGCCCATTTCTTCTGCACCGGCAAGGCTGGCAAGGCTTTCCTGAAGGCTTCTGTACCTGATAAAAAAGTTCTGGATTGATCCAGAGCTCTGTTATTGACTGCAGAGGCCGTCGGGAAAGCCTTGCCAGCCATAAAGACTTCTGGAAGGAGGCCGGGGATGACATGTAAGCAAATGAGGTTAGGCAGTGCAGGACATCCCCCCAAAATAAGACCTGGTACCTTTTTTTGGTGGCCAAAAAAGGACAGGGTCTTATTTTCGGGGAAACACCGTATGTGTTTTCTTCATTTTTTTTCCATTTTCTGTTTCCATTCATTCTACGTGCTGTCCATCTTCCTATCCACAGTAACTTCAGATGGTCGGTCCAGCAGTTTCGATGAAACCGGTTCCTGAAGCTCATCGAGACCTTCTCAACCCCCCTCCCATCTGCTGCCCCCCAACCAGGCTGGCCCCCCCACCCCCCCCCCGGTAGCTCTGGCTGCCCCCCCCCCCTTTCCCAGCACCGGTCCCCGGTTACGTACAGCTCCGGCCAGGAAGAAAACTGAAGGTGGATGACAGTCCGTTTCAGGCTTTGATCGTGGAATTGCAATGTGATCATTCTTTCCAGGTGAGTGGGGGTGGCCTTCAGGCTAGTGAGGACGAGGGTGATGGAGCCGAGGACCATGGGCTGGCCTCGCTCTGTCGGGAAGTATCGGACTACCTTTTGCTGCCGAGCCAAGAGAAGAGAGAAAAAAACTTTAAGGGGGGGGGGGAGGCGATACCAAGACTTCCCCTCGAAAGCTGGGTCCCAGGGGAAGATTTCGGCTTATTCAGACCAGGACTCCAAGCTCCCATCCTCCTCAGCCTTTGCTCCTCTGGCTGGGGCTAAGGAGCTTAGTAAATAGATAGATTAAAGGAGGGGGAATGAGAGAATGAGACAAAGAGAAAGAATGAGAGAATGAGAGGGGGAATGAGAAGAGGGAATGAGAGAACAAAAGAATGAGAAAGAAAAACGAGAGAGAATGAGAGAGAGAGGGGTATGAGAAAGAGAGGGAATGATAGAGAGGGTTTGCATGCTGAGGCCAGCTTCAAAAACCAGACCGCAGAGGTGTGGAAGTGGTAGAAGCAGGAGGAGGGGGGGGGATGGGGAAGTGGAGGGAAAGAACTGTGGGGTCCTTTGGGCTCTCTAAGTTTAGTAGTTTTCTTGCAGACGTTTCATAACCCAACTAGGTAACATTATCAGTGACAGAAAAAAGAGGAGGAAAAGGAAAATTGTTGGGTCCTTGGTGCTAAGTTTGGGAGTTTTCTTGCAGACATTTCATGAGCTATCTGGGTAACATCAGCAGAACTAGAAGAGAGTGGAGTTTATGGAGAGGAAGAGGAGGAGGAGGAGGAGGACTGTTGGGTCCTTGGTAATCTCTGAGCTTGGTGGTTTTCTTGCAGATGTTTCATGACCTAACTACTGAACGTCGTCAGTGCTACTTGAGAGGGAGGTTTGGGAAGAAGAGGAGCAGGACTTGGTGATAGCCAAGCTTGGTTGCTTTCTTGCACACGTTTCATGACCCAACGGGGTAACGTCATTGGGGCTGGAAGGGAAGGAAGTTTGTGGAGAGGAGAGGAGGACAAGAAGGGAACAAGGAGGTAGAAAAGGAGAAGAAGAGAAGAGAGTGTCACCAGAGGTGGTATTCAGCCAGTTCGGACCGGTTCACGCGAAGTGGTTGCAGAAAATTTTGAGTAGTTCAGAGAACCAGCAAATATCACCTCTGGCTGGACCCGCCCACCTGCCCCCCATTACCTCTCCTATATTCCCTTGTATTTTTTAGCTCAGCTGATGCACGCAGCAGAGGATTGCCGTGCCTAAGCTGAGCTAAAAAAACAGCACAGCTAACCAGTGTTGATACATCTGAAGCTCAGAGAGGACCAAGGGTATGTCGGGTCATCGACTCTATTCTGACCTAGGCTTCCCAAGATCATAAAGCCAACTCCTCGTCCTGCAGATGATAAAACATCTATTATTTAGGTTATAAAGTGAATTCCTCTCCAGTAAAGTCCCAGCCAACTGTCTTTCGAGAGATTTCACACCTACGGACCTTTATCGGGCTTGGAGAGTTGCCAGGCTGATAGCTTCCGAACGCCACGCTGTAGCAGCAATTACTTGGCAAGGAGTCAGGAACAGATCTTCACCCGAATGAAGTGAACTAACTGTCCCCTGCAAACCCCACTCGCCTTTTGCTTCTCTTTATTCCCTCTGGGAGGGGCCATTCATCGTCCACCTGTGGCTTTACTCCCGAGTTGACCCTTGTTCCTTAACTGTTCCCTTCTCCTGGCAGCTCTGTGCATGTGCACACTGGGAACAGGCTCCAGCTGCTCTTCTGCCCCACTGATCTCTGACTCTGAAGGCAACTAATTTGGACTGCCCTGGCCCCATCTCTGCCTCTGACGCAGAGCCCTCCCCAGACTCCAGGACTGGCCCATGTTCCTCCACCACCTCCTCACTGTCCCAGTCTTCCGCCAGCTGCTGCCAGAACTATGTTCTGCTATGTCATAGTGCTACCAGAACTATGCCTGGATCGACAGACTGCCGAGAAGCCCAGAGGCATCCAAACAACGCCACACCCACACCATGCCACCACCAACTCACCTTCTCCATCTCCTGCTCCGAGACCAACATGACCACCAACGAGACTTTCTGCTCATAGATCATCAGCCAGAAGTCTGAGGCGGTGCCTACCAGCGGGGCCTGCGTGGCAATAATGGTGGGGCAATAGCAGGAGAGATCCTCAATCCGGCTGGCATTAATGTAGTCGTCCTTGCCCGATTGGAGGATCACTCGGTTCCGGTCATATGGCATGATGTCCTGATGCCGGTTTTTCATGGTGTAACAACGGGCAATGGCGATCGACAGCTGTCGTGCGTCCTTCTCTTGGGCATCCTGAAGCTCCTTCCAGATGTTGTCTAGCTCGCTGACTGTGCCCGGCGCGGCGCTCTTCTCCAACCGGGACACCCCTTCTTGGAAACGTTCGAGCTCGGACAGGAGGCGCCAAAGACGCTCCGGTTTCTCGTACGGGTCATTCTCGATCAGCTGGACAGCTTTGGGCTTCAAGCCATCCTTGGGGTCAGCCTTGGTGGGTTGGAGGAGGGGCGGCCCAACGGGCGCCTTGGGACCCCCGTGTTGGCTCTCGGGACTGGAGGAGAGCAGGTCATCAGTGGAGGAGCTCTGGCGTTGGAAGGGGACCTCGGAGGCAGCCTGGGGCAGGGACGGAGGGCCAGGAGTCAGTGAGGAAGGAGGCATCTGAGAGGGCAAAAGGCAGGGGGGTGGGAGGGTCATGGCGGGGCGAGGAGAAGGGGCTGGTGAGGGAACAGCCCCTCCAACCGGACTTGGGGTAGAAGGAACATGTCGAAGGGGAGGCTGGCTAACTGGAGGCAGCGGCTGAGGTCTGAGCAGTCTTATAGGGACTCCCGGGATCTGGGCTGACGTTGGAGCGAATGCGAGGGGGGCTGCCGACACGGGAGGGTGAAGGGGGACCTGCTGGATGTGGCCCATCATGCCTCTTGGGACCGGGGCAGAGTAGGCCAAGCTGCCAGAATGGGACGGCAGTGGGTCCCGTGGGGGCAGCTGATAATGTTGAGGTCCCAGCTGGAGGGGGAGCTGCCCTTGGCTAGCGGGATGCGTGGGGACCTGATTCGGGAGCACCGGTGGGCCTGTGGGCTGAGACGGGTATGGCTGGGGGAAGGCCGGCTGTGGCTGCTGGGTCTGGGGCAGGAAATGGGGCAGTTGCTGCTGCTGTGGGGGCAGCATGGTAGGCATTGTTTGCAAGCAAGCTGGGCGATCAGAGGGGGGATGGAAGCTGGGCTGAGGCTGAGCGCCTGAGAAAGGAGGCAGAAAGGACGCCGTACTCACCGGGACATAAGCAAAAGGATAGGGGGAAGACCCTTGGGGTCCCCCCACAAAGCCCCCTTGAGAAGGAGGCCCTGCCCACTGGGGAAGGGAGCTAGACATCCCCTGCGGAGCTGTGCAACTGGAGATGGGAGCCTGCAGACTGTCCACCGTAGTGGTGGCGGGCCGGATGCCCTGCTTGTGTGGTGGGAAATGAGGGGCCACAAAGTGGCCAGGCACCGGAGCTGGCGGCCTCCTGTCTAGAGGGGCAGATGGACCTCCGGGAAGAACCCCACTACATGGCGCCAGTTGTCCGACGCTGTAAACTGAGCCCGGGGCAGGATGAGAGATCGGAATGTGCTGTGGAGACGTCCTCGGGGGCGGCAGAGGCAGACCGGGGTACACCGGCTGCTGTGGGGCAAGGCCCGGACCTGGAGCAACGACACCCCCCGGTGAGTAAATCTGTGAATTCGGCAAAGGGGACACTGCGGAACTGCAGGGAGTCAGTATGGGGAAAGAAGCTTGTCCAGAGACAGTGGACATCATGGCCGGCTGGTACGGCCGCGGAGGTAGTCTGGTGCCTGGGAACTGGCTCGGATCAAAGGGAGGCCTGAGAGGGAGGGCTCCCCCAAAGGCTTCGCCGGCGGGACCCCTGATCCCCGCAGCAGGCAAAGGTGGTTCATTACGTAGCGCTGCCAGGGCATCAGCGGGGAGCTGTGCCAGGTGAGAGGCCAGGATTTCTGGTGGGAGGCTGCGCAGCTCCTCGGGCAGGTCAGCCAGTGAGATGGACGCAAGGCCCAGAGGCTCGCAAGCCAACTCTGCCTCTGACAACTTCTTTTGAAGGACGGGTTTTGAGGTGGTGGGCCGGGCAGGAGTCTTCTTCTTCATCTCCCTATTGGAAGAAACATAGATGGGATCAGTGAGGCTGAGCTCAGAGGTTCAATGGAGAAAGTCTCTAGGGGACTCGGAGCTGGGTTTACTCGCTCAACCTGACCGACCGTACAGGGATGTTATTTGATAGGACTAGGAGAACTCACCACGGACAACTCATTGTAGGATAAGTCGCCATGGGACGATTCAACATTTCATCCTTTGGTTACTCTTATCACTAGTGACCAAGTTTTTTGTCGAAACTATTGTAACACTTGTATTTCGGGATTGACTTTATTATTGGCAACAGCTCCGTTGAATTTAATGTAATTTTTGTATTTGTTGAGGTGTCCCAGGGCGACTTGTCAGGCGATGAACTGTCCAGGGTCCATTTAGTCACTGGAGATAGCAACATTAGTTCACGCAGGAGGGAATTTGAATAAATCATGGAACCCACAACAAATTCCAGAGCCAGCATGTTTTAAGAGGGGAGGACTTCCACTCCCAGAATCCCCCATCCAGAAGCACTGTTTGAAAGGAAGTCATGCCTATCACACTTCCATAAGGAGTTGCTTACTTCTCCATTATCTGCCGGCGGGCGGTTTCAGCCATTTGGCAGGTGATCTGTGCCTTTTCCAAGAGTTTTGCAACTTTACTCTCCAAGTCGGCGTAAAATTCTTTCCCTTCTTGAGACTTCTTCATCAAATCTTCGTAGGCTTCGTACGAAGCCACCAAGGTCTGGAGGGTCGTGTTCCACCTGGACAGAAGAAAGGAACGGAGGAATTAAAAAAAAGGGGGCAAGACGACAAGCAAGGAGCGAGGAGACCAAAAGGGGTAATGAGAGGGTGAGGAGAGCAAAAGAGAGGCGAGAAGAGCAAAAAAGGAGTAAGCAGAGCAAAAGACAGGTGAGAAGACAAAATGAGGGGCGAGGAGAGCAAAAGAGGGGTGAGAAAGCAAAGAGGGGTGGAGGAGAAAAGAGGGGCGAGGAAGGGTCACCTAACAGTTGGGTTGGAAATATATAAACCAGGACAGACATTTTAATACTGTCTCTTTAAGGGAATGCTAAAATTGTAATCGGGTGTGGTTCCTCAAGCGGCCATAAGATGGAGCCAGAAACCTGGTTTCCGAGAGTGTTGCTAGTTGGTTGATGTTCTGATGTTCGCTGTTTTTGGTTCCTGCATTTTTCCTATTGACTGTTGCTCATCGTTATTCTTGGATTGTTGTAAGTCTGTTACTGAACTGTGTATGATACTGGACTTTGATTTTAAATTATCCCTGGACTGAAAACTGACTGCTTTAACCGTGTATGACTTGGACTGCTTGTTGGACTTTAACCGTTTACTTCTCATCGCTAAGCCTCATCTTTTACTGCTGTTATGAAGTGAATTGCTGCAGTCATTTGGCGAGCCACCAGGTTGCTAAGCAAAATTGAGCTCTCCCCCCCCCCCCCCCCCCCCCCCCGACCTCGCTTGTCGGAAGGTTGCCCAAAGGGTATCACGGGACAAGGGGACACCACAATCATCATAAAGATGAGTCACTTGCCAAGCATCTGGATTTTGGTGACCACGGGGATGCTGAATTGGTCATTAAGTGTGAAAAACAGCTCGAAGTTGCTTTTTTCAGTGCCATTGTAATTTTAAACCTCCACTAAATGAACTGTTGCAACTCGAAGATTATCTGTATCTGCAATAAAACTCCACACTCCTCCTCCGCTCTGTATACCCTCTCCCTTCTAGTAACCTAGTTGGGTCATGAAACATCATAAGAAAGCAATCAAGCTCAGAGAACATCGAATAGTCTGTATTCCCTTTCTTCTCCTTCCTCTTCCTCCTCTTCTTCTTCCTCCACTCCACCAACTTCCCTTCCTTCTCACACTAGTTTTGTTCCCTAGTTGGGCCGTGAGATGTCTGCAAGAAAACTACCCTGTTTCCCTGAAAATAAGACCCAACTGGTAAATCAGCCCGAGCATGATTTTCCAGGATGCTCATAATAGAAGCCCTATCCCAAAAATAGGTCCCAGTTAAGATCATCAGCCAGGCAGACGCATTTAGAACTGTATTTCCCCAAAAATAAACCCTAACTGGAAAATAAGCCTTAATGTGTCTTTTGGAGCAAAAATTAATGTAACACCTAGTCTTATTTTCGGGGAAACATGGTACAAAACTCAAGAGTGCGCCAAGGATGCCACAATCCTTCCTCTTCCTCCTCCACTCTGCACACCTGCACCCTTCAAGTACTGGTGATGTTGCCTAGTTGGATCATGAAACGTCTTCAAAAAAAATCCACCAAGCTCAGAGAGCACCAAGGAGTCTACACTCCCTTTCTTCCTCCTCCTCCTCCTCTTCTCTGCAAATCCCAATCCTTGTAGCCCTGATGTTACCTGTTTCCCCAAAAATACGACTTACCCTGAAAGTAAGTCCTAGCGTGATTTTTACACGTGCCCAATATAAGCCCTACACCCAAAATAAGCCCTAATTAAGATCCCACCCACTCCAGAGTGCACAGGTAAAAATTAAGCTAGGGTGGGGATGGGTGGAACTGCCCTACTACTTACCTTTGGATAGTTGTAGCCAGGCCTCGCACACCCCGACACCTGCCTTGACGGCCCATTTCTATGGCAGCCGGCAAGGCTGGCAAGGCTTTCCTGAAGGCCTCTGGATTGATCCAAAGCTCTATTATCGGCTGCAGAGGCTTTCAGGAAAGCCTTGCCGGCCACAGAAGAATTTTCAGAAGGAGGCCAGAAGTGTGCAACATGTGCCAGTGAGGTTAGGCAGTGGATGATGTCCCCCAAATAAGATCTGATGCCTTTTTTGGTGGCCAAAAAAATATAACACAGGTTATTTTTGGGGAAACATGGTAATTGGGTCATGAGACATCTGCAAGAAAATAACCAATCTTGGAAAGCATCAAGGATGCCACAATGAGACGTCTATGCAGGACAGATTCTAAGTGGACATGTCAACATCCTCCTACCTCCCAGAAAACAGGTGAGGGGTTCTTCCTCCTAACCACTCATGCTCACTGCCCTTAGCCAAAGCAATATCTCATCCCACCCATTGGCCCTCAAACTCACTTGTTTTCCACCTCGGCCAGGATCTTCCGGACGGCAGCATATTTCACGTTGGCCTCCGTCAGAGCTTTGAGGATGTTTTCCTGGGCCGCCAGGTTCTGCTCCAAGTAGACTTTGATCTGGTCGTACTTCTTCAGCTGCTCCACAAAGAGTTTCTGGAAGAAAAGGGGGAAGCATGCTGGTTGGGGGAGTTGAAGTCCACCCATCTTACAGCATGAGAAACTCTGGGAGTTGAAGTCCACCCTCTTACAGCATGAGGAATTGTGGGAGTTGAAGTCCACCCTTTTAAAGCATGCTGGCTGGGGAATTCTGGGAATTGCAAATACTGGTTAGAGAATTTCGGGAGCTGAAGTCCACCCCTCTTAAAAGTGACCAATTTGAGGAACCCTGCTGTAGAATCCGTCCAAGACTTCTTCGTCCCTCCTCCACAGGAGGACCTTCCATCCTGGCCTCGTCCTAAAACCCCGATGACATCCCAGCTTCTTACCTTCATCTCAGACTGATCGGTTGTCACCAGAGAGGTGGTGAGATCGTCCTTCTGGATCATCTCGCGGAGCTGGTGCTCCAGGGACACCCGCTGGTCTCTCATCTCTTGGACCTTGGCCAGCAAACGCTTGACGTTCTGGATGGCTTGCTGGTCATCTGCAGGCAGGAGACAAGTCAGGTGTGTGTGTGTGTGTGGGGGGGGGGGGTATAGGGGATGTCAACCATCCATCCGTGTCTATCTGTCTATCTCTGCCTCTGCCTGTGTGTCTGTCTATCTATCTATCCACCCATCCAACCTATCTCTATGTCTGTCTATCTAGATATCTATCGATCTATCTATTCATCCATCCATCTTACCTATCTATCTCTTTCTGTCTGTTTATCTCTGCCTCTGAATGTCTGTCTATCCATCCATCTGACCTATCTATCTCTTTCTGTCTGTTTATCTCTGCCTCTGAATGTCTGTCTATCCATCCATCTGACCTATCTCTAAGTCTATCTAGATATCGATCGATCAAACGATCTATCCATCCATCCATCCATCTGACCTATCTCTAAGTCTATCTAGATATCGATCGATCAAACGATCTATCCATCCATCCATCCATCTGACCTATCTCT